TGTGGTAGTTATTAATCCATCAGCTTTAACCATTTGAAATAAAACAAAATCGAAGACTAGCCCAAAAGATGTTTATAATGAATAAACTGATCAATATACTAACTTACCCTTCAGGATGGGAACTTAGAAGGAGTAAAGCCCTCTTACTATGCTTTACTTCTGCTCTAGCTGAGGGCAGTAGCCTTTAAGATCACCCTGTGCCTCTGCAGTATAGAAGAGGAATAGGTATAGCCAGGAATTCAGAGGTGGGGGAGAGGGATGTCGGGTTGCTAGAAGCACCCTCTGTGGTCTTCAGTGGTCTGCTGGTGGTGGGGAGACCTGGCTGGGGGAAGGGCCCATATCAATGGCTTCACATAGCTCCAGTCCTCACAGGTTCCACTGATGGCAGTAAGGCCTGAGTGGAAGAACTAGGATTAGAGGTGCCATGTGACAAGGCTATTCCCTTGCTGGGTATCTTCCCAAAAGAATTAAAATAATCATACTTCAGCAATATATGTGCACCCATGTTCATAGCAGCACAGTTGTTAATAGTTAAAATTTGGAAACATCCCAATTGCCCATCAACTGGAGCCTAGATAAAGAAAATGTGGGTTGTTGTTTTTTTTTTATAAAATGAAGTAGTACTCAGCCATAAAGAAAGAGAAATCAGAGACATTTGTAGTTAAATGGATGCACATTGAGGCAATACTCTTAAGTGAAATAAATAGGACACACATGTAAATACTAAATAGTTTCTCTCATGTGAGAAACAAAGTGTAAAGATCAAATATATATAATAGATAATGTGATATAGGAAGAAAAGGTGAAAAGGGGAAGGGGAAGTGAGAGGGGTAAGAGAAAAGAAAGAAGGGAATGGAATTAACATGAGAAAATGAAAAAATGGAAACAAAGTCTTTTTGGGGGGGTACTAGGAATTAAATTCAGAAACTTGCACTTGTGAGGCAAGCAGAGGAACCACTGAGCTAAATCCCCAGCCCAACAAAGTCTTTTAAGTAGAGAAGGTTAGAGGAGTTGATGGGAGAGCAGGGGAATAGGGAAAAAATAAGAATAAAAAAATATTATGTGAAGGTACAAATCTCCAGTGATGAATATCACTCTACTGTATATCTAAAATATAGCAATAAAATTAATTTTTAAAAAACAACACACATGTCATGTGTTTGTCACTACTATTGCCTATATTGTCTTGCAATATTATGAAACAAATCTCAGGAGACAAACCTGGACTTTTAATACATTCTTGCTTCTACAGTATAACTAGGAGTACATTTTTATCACCTCGTTATTTTACTACTGGGGATTCAGTACTTCACTCTTACCTATATCCAAAACGCTGTTTTTTGTTTTTTGTTTTTTGGTTTTTGGTTTTTGGTTTTTTGGTTTTGTTTTTTTTTCAGACAGATTTACCTGAAGTCTCTAAAGGACCAGGCTGAGTTTAAACTTTTGATCCTCCTGACTCAGCATCCCAGAGTGATGGGAGTGTACCACCACACCCCTTGCCCACAGTATCCTTTACTTTCTGATTGTTTTAACATGATGTGGGTCATATTTGTGAAACTCTTATGAGTTTGTGACTTTGCATCCCTGTGACAAAATAGCTGAGAAAAAACAACTTAAAAGAGGAAGGATATATTTTGGCTCACTGCTTCATTCTTTCTGGGTCTATGGTGGGGAGCACATGGTAAAATAAAGCTGCTCAGCTCATGGATGACAGGAAGCATAGAAAAGGAGACAGAGAGACATACAGAAAGACAGACAGGGACAGAGAGTCAAACAGATTCCAGAGGCAAGACATAATCTTCAAGGGCATACCTTCAAGGATATACTTCTTCCAACTAGACCCCACCTCTAAAGTTTTCACTACCTCCCATAATTCATTAAATTATGAATTATCCATCAATGAATAAATCCACTGATGAGGTGAGAGCCCTCATGATCCAATAACCTTCCAAAGCCCAAAACTCTGAACACCTTTACACTGGGGATCAGTCCTTCAATACATGAGCTTTTACGGGGACATTTCAGAGCCAAGCCATAACACTTCACTTTCATCCTTGCATTTTGAAGGAGCTGCTCTTTGGCCAGGGCCACCAACCCCCTTTCTAAGCTGGAAGTCCTCTTGGTTCTGTCATAGTACTGTGTACCTGCACCTCATCTACTCAGGAGCACATGCTGTAGCATACGTAGTATGGACCTAGTGAGGATCAGTGAACACTGGTCAAAGGGATGCTGAGTAGATTCAACATGCAGTGCTCTTCCTTAATGGGGAAAGCAAAGAAACAAAAAGAAACACTCAAATAACATTGGGAAGACAGTGAGTAGGACATTTTTTCCTAAAACAAAGACTTTCCACTGGAGATTATAGAGATAGGCTGAAGAGGTTGTTGAATCAGACTTGCAGAGTCTTTGAATGCCAGCAATGGAATTTGGATGTCATTCAGTTTGAGGAGAGAAAGATATACAAAAAATTTGTGTTTTAAGCTGCATGGAGCTAATAAAATTAATCTGCATTTTCATGTTGTATTGGTATTTATCCTAAGAGATCACAGAATTAATGTCAAATGAATCTCCAGACTTAAGTGCTCTAAATCTTCACAGTGGAGTTGAGGTCATTTAGACATTGTGAAAAATAAATTCTTAGATCAAAATCAAATTTTAATTAAAAGATTAGTAAAAGTTGCTTCACTGATCTGAATGCTTTACAATTGATCTGTTTTCTCATTTGAATAATCTTTTAAAATGTCAGGACTTTCTAAAATTGAAAAGAGAAAAGCAGTTTCAGATGACCTTTCAGAAATAAAGTATGGGATTGACTATAATACCTTATCACTGCTACCATAGAAACCAATAGCAATTCTCATTGTAATATGAACCCTTCTATAAATTAACAATTCCTTCTGAAATTTGTCCTTGTTAAATGAAATCATTGGCAACAAAATATAACTTTAAGTGTCTGCCTGCCTCTGGAATACAAAACATCACATTTTAAAATATCCTGTAAATATGCATGTCATTAAAGCATTTATTAAAGCCTTAGTTTCAGGTATATAAATACCTGGTGTTTCTGCTTGAAAAGTCCTGACAGTTGGAACAGGAATTCATGAACTAATAAGTTATTCTTAGAAAAGTCATCCAGTGAAAAGTATATTAAATGGGCTCATGTCTCAACTCTGAATAAAGAGGGCGCCACTTGCCAATTCGTTCTGTTTCCAAATTTCCTTTGTTTCTCTAAGCTACTATTTTGCAAAGAGGAAAGTAGTTACTGATGTCAGAGCTTAAGTTCTGTAGCCTACATCTGAGACCTGAGACTCAAAGCAGCCAGTGGCTAAATAGAAGACAGGAGGCTCTTTATTATTTAAAGAGCTTGAGTCTTGAGTGATGACAGAGAATTTATACATATCCAAAGCATCATTCAGAGCATTGGTCTTACTCTTTCCTTTGGCTTCTAAGACAAAAGTACAAGGTCAAATTCACAACTGCACCCATCTCTTCGAGATGTAAGTAAAATATGCATTGCACTTTTGAATTAGTTATCTGGAATAAAATGTAAATAACACTAGTTCAGTAGTGAATTCTATATTTAAGAGACATTTCACTATACCCTTACTAGAGTATTATATTCTTTCTCAGTTTTCCTTTGCTACTGTAACCTAATTCACCATATTAACTTTCATTACATCAGTCTAAATGTTCTGAAAATGCTAAAACAAATATTGATCATAACATAACCTTAAATCAAAAACAGAATTTATGCTGCACTGTAAAACAGCTTTCCCAAAATGGAGGAGTGGGTGGTGAGGTCACACTGAGCCTCAAGTTTATTTTTCAGGATTAAAATTGATAGCTTGTATATCACTGTGTATATGTGTATATGTGTGTACGTATTCTGTAGTATCAGCCCTTTCCACTTGGTGGTATACAAGAAAAATGACAATTTTTGTGTAGCAGCTAAGCTAAAAGAATGAGTTTGCTGATACCTGGAAACCAATCTTGGCTTTAGGTGGGTATCCTGAGGCCTAATGAAGTCAGTATTTTAGCACTTCTGTAACACCTTCATGACCCAAAAGCAAAAGCCGGAAAGCTCTGTTAGGGAATAATTGTGGTATAACAAAATTTAAAGTACAGCTAGGTGCCAAATAAGCATGTGTTTTACTAATAGTTTTACTGTAAAGAACCATAACAATTAAAATGGTGCTGTGTGATATTTGAGGAATCAATTTAAGTCAAAATAAGACTAACAGAAGCTATTTAAAAGACTATGTAGTAATTAGTTAGTATGATTAGTGTCACTATTTCCTGACACTAAAAGCTTTTAGAAAATATGAATTCAGGAATAACCTGCAGTTGCACAATGAGGGCAGGAAATGTAAATTACTTACTTATATACTCCTGGCAGTGCTATTATTGAATCCATTCTGTATTATTAAGTTGCTTCAGGGCTGAAGTGAATCAGGATTCTGCAAGCTGAAGTGATATACTAGACCCAGGTCAACTGTTGACAGGACTCTGTGTACTTCATTAACTCACTTGGTGTTTCTCACTTGACATCTTAGAAAAGAATAAGCTGTCCCCCTGCTTTGTACATAGCAACAGAATAAAGAGAAACAAGAAGATAGTGACCAACTCTGTGCTGAAAGAATAAGAAAGCTCAGCAGGGATAGGCTGGCTTGTCTCCCACAACCTCCAACTCCCGGTTAGAAGATACCTGTATAATTCCAGCTTGCAGACATAAGTCTCGATCCACCTTAAACACATCACAACTTGGTTCAGTGCTACACAGCAGAGATGTCTGAATCTAATTGCACAAGATCTGTTGGAATGGCAACCCACTGGCTTGCTTCATGGACATCTCTCACTGACATTACATCTACCCCCCAATATGTGACTACAACTTTGTACTTTATAATTGTCTTCAAGTGAAGAAAGTAGAAGCTACATTTAATAACCTAACAAAATCCATAAGCCACAATCACTTGACTCTTCTGTCTTATTCCTTTCAGATTTCTTCAGCATAATTGCATCAGACACATATCCAAGAAAGCATTTTTTGGATTATACAATCTGCAAATATTGTGAGTAACTTCTCTGTGATTAAATTATGGATATAGATTTAAGCAATGTCTACAAGTTTCTTTTTTAAAAACTTTTACTTGGTTATAGATAAATGAGAGGAGTGGAGTATCTCAAAATACTTATATTATTATGCTGAAAGAGTTAATTATTTTAAAATTCCAACTTCTACCAGAAGCCATATGAAGGCTCTCCTTCACATCATCTTCTGTGTCTTGGGCAACTTCCACAATATTTTAGCATTTTTCTAACTTTTATAACTCACTATATACTTTTAAATATATTAGATTACTAAAAAATGTGACCAAAAAAAGACAAAAGCAAATTTGCCTAACACAGTTAGTTATTATGCCCTTGTTGTGTTATCCCAGAATAATGCTTTTGGTCACTTTCCTTGCCCTGACCCTGGTTTTGCTCACACTGAACATGTGGTCATTGGTGACTCCTCATCAGCTCTTGATGTCTCCTCCACTGCACAACCAGCAGAATATTCTTAGAAGCAGATGTCCATACTTCCATGATCATCATCAGTGGTCTATAGTCTGATTACATGTGACTAAATGGAATATTGAGTTTGCCTAATTAACTCACTCATGCTATTTGTAGATATCTCAACCACAACAGCATTACAACTCTCAAACCTGGAGTATTCAAAGACTTACATCAGCTAACTTGGCTGTAAGTATGCTAGTATTCATTTCCCCCATAAATAATCATAGTCAATGCTCACTCAGATGACTTTTACTTTGGGATGTACCTTGTTTATTATATTTATGTTTCCAATTTTCACATAATCTGAAGCACTGTACCCAAGCAACTCAAGACAGTGGCATGTCAAATGGTGGTTATGTGAAAAAGGGAGCTGGCCATGCTTTTCAGGGGGCTTTCGGCACCCAGTATTAGGGGTACAAAGCAACTGACTCAGTGTTTGGCAAGATCAGAATGCCTCAACTTCAATAGCGTTATAGATATTTTGACTCAAAATATAATCCTTTGTTCAGAGGAGCCTAGAAGAACAGTATGCCCTCTGCATTTCTGGGTGTTTAGAACCATCTGTGAACTCTACTCATTAGAAGCCAGTAGTAGTACCCCTTTTTTTTTTTTTTTTTTTTTTTTTTTTCTCAGTGTTTGGCAAGATCAGAATGCCTCAACTTCAATAGCGTTATAGATATTTTGACTCAAAATATAATCCTTTGTTCAGAGGAGCCTAGAAGAACAGTATGCCCTCTGCATTTCTGGGTGTTTAGAACCATCTGTGAACTCTACTCATTAGAAGCCAGTAGTAGTACCCCTTTTTTTTTTTTTTTTTTTTTTTTTTTTCACCGGGGTTTGAACTTGGGTCCTTAAGCATGCAAGGCAGGCCACCGAACTGCTTTCTTAAAGAGTTATAATAAACAAAACAATGTCTCTGGGCATTGCCATTTGTTCAGTGGGAGGAAAAATTGCCCTTTGTTGGAAACCACTTACCTAAAAAGTAATTCAGTTAGGGATTTTTTCTGATTCCCAGAGCATGCAAAAAAAAAAAAAAATCTGAAAATATGGTAACTTGTGGCATTTCACCATTTTCCAGGTTGGGTGAGCCACCAGCTCCATCTCCAGGAGTCTCACATTGTCCAACTGTGCTTCCATAAGATAAATAAAGGGTAGTATAAGGCTGCTCAGTTTGCTCCTTGTCTGCCAGTTAGCCTGGACTAACTTAGTGGAAAAAGCTAGGGCTCTGGCTTCAGACAGATCCTGTGTGTGCCTGACCCATCTGTAATCTCCCAGACATGTTCTTAATCTCCCTATTTTTCTTTTTTCTTATCTGTAACCTACAATCATAATTTCTTATAAGAGGGATGGTGTGAGAATTAAATCACATAGCACAAAATGGCACACTCAAAGCTCCTGGCACACAGTAGGTATTCTGTATGACCCCCTTCTCCCAATCCTACCTGGTAGACCTCTGAGAGTAATAGGGAATAGAATCTGGCTTCAAAGGCAACAAAGGATGCCTGTTTTCCTATAGTCTAATTTCATCTACAAAAAGATCTTAATCGTTTAAAATGGTGATTTGAATATACAAATATGTTTATTCCTTTACTTCCAAAGCTCTTTATGAATGGTTTCACATCCATTCATTCATTTGTATAAATCTCATTGAATATATCATTTAAACATCTTGAGGCCAAAGAACCTTTTATTATTTCCTAAGAGTTTCATTTGTACTCATTCTTCAGTCTAACAAACAGTAGGTCAAAGCATGTATGGAGCCCATATTCAGCCACTAAGTGCAGCTTAAACTAGACCCAAGTATCCCAAAATGAAAGATACACATAGATCTTTAAATCTAGCAGGAGGTGATCAGGAAGAGGAAGTAAACAATCTTAATTCTCTTCTTCTTCTTCCTCCTCCTCCTCTTCCTCCTCCCTCTTTCCTTCCTTCTTCACCACCACCACCCATCAGTCAGAAACTGCCTTGATGCAAGATGCAGAAATTTGGAGGAAAGCAATGATCTGACACAGGGTAAAGGAGAAGCTTTCAGGGAAGAGACACCTGGTCAAATAAGGAAAGACATGAAAGACATGGCAAGGAGTTAGAAGAGATGGGATAGGCTTGAGCCTTTCATTTTTTTTTTTCCCCTGGTGTTGTTTCAAAAATATCTTTAACACTGGAAATGTTTCTTATATGTTTTGTCAGAATTCTAGATGACAATCCAATAACCAGGATTTCACGGCAGTTGTTTACTGGATTAAATTCTTTGTTTTTCCTGTAAGTATTCATCTACCTTTTAATACATCTGTATATGAATTACAATGACATTTAACACTAGCATACAGGAAAAGCTTCAAAAATATATCAAACCTACTAAAATCTTTATTAGTCAAAACCTTTCCTGTATTTCCAGCAACAGTTACTATTGCCACTTCCTGCCTATAGCTCAAAGGGAACAGCTAGGCAGATTATAATATATATTTTAAGCCTAGAAGTTAATTTTTTTAACTCCTTTAATTTACTAAAGTCCTAAGACACATTTTCATTTGCAGTGGTTAACCAAAATTCATTTTTTTATTCTATTCAATTTTATATCTTAAGTACATTTAAATCTATTAGAAGCTCTCAGGAGTCAGTTCCAACTCCATTTTTAACAGAGGAAACTGCTTTTGCCTAGCAATAGTCACTGAAAATTCCAAAATCTTTGTTCTGCCAACAGAGCTGTTCTCATAATTACATTTTCACTGTTTATTAATATACTAGAGTGATTTATCGGCAGGAGATTATTATGTTCCTTTACAGTTGATTATAAAGCATCATTATTTTTCCATTTGTCAAAAGGGACCACAATATCGTAAATTAATCGTGCAGCTTAGCATGCTCATGAGTTGTTTTCTTTTCCCAAATTCCCCCTTCTGTCACTTCTTAGATTTAATGTGGTTTCCAATATGGCCCTTTAATGTTATAAATGATTAATGTTTCCCATAAGAAGAACTTTGGATGTATGGCACTAGAAATAACTGTAAACTTGAAGTACACAAGAAAAATTATTATGAACTTCAAAATTATTATGTGATATATACTTTTGTTTTATCTCATAAAGTTAAACTGTCTAGTGTTTATTCCTGGAATGTATATCATATTATTCATTTATAGTGTCTTTGACAATATCTGCTCCCTAGTTCTTGCTTTGCCCATATTTAAATAATATTTTGAAGGTGTAGTTATGTATCTATATATACTTCATCCTACTGCATTAATTTTAATGTGAAAGCTTCCAAAATTTTAATATAGTAAAAATATTATTCTTAAAATGGAATATTATTTTGTTTCTAATTAATATTTTATTTTGTAAAGGTCTATGGTTAATAACTACCTAGAGGCCCTCCCCCAGCAGATGTGTGCCCAAATGCCTCAACTTAACTGGATGTGAGTATTCATTTAGGATCTAAATTGCTTTTTGAACAGATTAAGGAAACTGGCCATGAAGTTCATTCACAATTACCTTGAAAGTCCATCGCTGATTTCTTTTCAAAACCAAGGCCTACTCATGTTAATTCCCAGTGTAAAAGTCCTTTGAGGGGTCCCAAAGGAGAGACGGTAATGTTCCACTTTCCCCCTGAGTACCCAAGATTTCTCGATCTCTTTTCCTGCCCATCCCCTTCATGTCTCTTCTCCCATATGTACCAAAATACTCTCCTACAATCAATCCCCTCAGCACATACTGATCCTTGAACTTGAAAAGTCTTGCTCCCTTATTTGCTGAACTAACTCCAACATTTCCTTCCCAAGTCAACTAAAATGTACCTCCAGGAAGCTGGGCCTGACGCCAACCAGCTTCAGTGGCTGCCTTTGTACTTCAAATGTGCCTCCTACAAAACTCTACTGTGCCATAATTTTCTATACCTCCCACTTATCTCAGGATACCTGTCACTGGTTTATTTATTTGTTTGTCCCCTACTTATGTCATCTACAAGTTCTTTGATTACAGACCAATAATATGATTTCGATACACCAGCATTCAGGCAATGACTAACACATGGTAAGGACTTAATAAATTTTGATGGATGAATATGCTAGAGTTTCACTTCTTGTTAGCTTTTAACAACTACTTGTTTAAAACATTCAAGTAGTATCACAGCTTTATCACCACTACCCACCCTCCTCTGCCACACGCACGGTATGACCAAAATATACAGTGAATATTTAAATTTTTAAATGTATTATAGTAAAAGACATTGCTTTTAATTCCCCTCAAAAAACTCCCTCTCACTTTACATACATGTATCCCGTCATTTGCCATCCTCTGAAGCACTTCTGGAAGCTCTCTTTTGTGAGTGTCTACAAGCTATGATTAAAAAAAATGTTTGGGTGTTGTTGCTGAGTGCTATCCAACAGAAGAGCAGGCTCATAAAAACATTGTTATTTCACCTTGTCCACCAGATCTGGTACTGTATAACTTCTAGCTCTTTCCCAAGGCCAAATAATCATAAAAGGTAAATGTTTTAAATCTATTCAGAATATCAAGGTGGCCACAAATTGCAACTAAAGACACAAAAGTCTTCTAGAACTGTTTCAGAAACTGGCAAGAATAATGGGATAAACCTGTTTGAAGTGAGGGAGAATATTTTAACAGGAATTAATGGTAATGCATCATTAACTACAATAAATTTTTTATTTAAAAATTCACTGCTTTTTTTTTTTTTTTTTTTTTTTTTGTTTTTTTTTTTTTTTTTGGTACCGGGGATCAAACTCAGGACCGTG